GTGAAAGCTTGACTATTCTTTTATCACCATTTTCATTGAAGATAACCTCAGCATAAACATGGATGATTCTCATAAATGTTTTATTGAGATGGGAAAGTAGGCACAGAGGCCAGTAGTTACTGATGTCTCTTTGGTCACTTTTTTTGGTTATAATAAGATCTTTTCCGTTCCTATGGACTCTACCCCTCTTTGCAATATGTCAAAATTTTAGAATTGTGTCACCTTCAAAATAGATTTCCTCTGTATGCATATAGTTAGGTTGACCTGCTTTTCTGATCTCATTTTCTTGGATACCATTTCCATTTCTTCATATGGCACATCAGGTACTGAGATAATAGAGTCCAAATGCCATAGTTTTACTGCAGTCAATTTGGGAATAGATAACTGCAGACACGCTAGTTGATCTGCTCCATTTTGTATCTGCTTGTTGTCTTCCATTTGCTATAAATGCTCTTGAGATGATTTGGCTCAGTTGAATCTCGTGCCCAAACTCTCTCAGGGTAAACAAGCTTTAGATCGGCAAGTTAGGCTTTAATTCCTAGGAAAATTCTAGAGCAAAACACTAAAGGGATAGTCAGGAAATATCTAGAAAAGGAAGCAGTTACAAAGAACCTGAAGGGGTTCATCAAGAACAGACTAGCCTTATTTCCTTTTTTTATGACATTATTAAACTAGGAGATCAGGGAAATGCCATGGATGTGGTTTACCTAGATTTTAACAGAGTTATTTATTTATTTATTTCAGTTAACAAAAATCTATTTTCCTTTCCCTTTCTCCTTCTTGAAAAAATTCAAATATTTATTTTACAGGTACTTGTCAGAGCTTGTAACAAAGTAACCTATGCCATTCTTGTGGAAAAGATGGCAAGATGGCCACTGGATAATGTAGTTGTCATTGTTGTTCATCCTTCCCTCTTTTTTTTTTGTGAGGCAATTGGGGTTAAGTGACTTGCCTAGGGTTACACAGCTAGTAAGTGTCAAGTGTCTGGTCTGAGACTGGATTTGAACTCAGGTCCTCCTGACTCCAAGGCCAGAGCTCTATCCACTGCGTCACCTAGCTGCCTCATCATCCTTCATTCTAAAAGAGGACCAATGACATCATAAGGATGATGTCTTGACTTGCAAGTGAATTGGATTTAAATGAGGCAGAGCTGTGCAGTTGTCAGCCTCACTCTGTCCTTCAGAGTCATTGGAATCCAGTGGCAAGACAAGAGTCAAGACGACTAGTGATGGCCCTGCATAATACAGTTAGGTAAATTCAGAAGTAATTCAATGACTGGGCTTAAAGAATGGTTGTTGATAGCTTGTTGTTGACTTAGTACTGGAGCTTCCAGGGGAGTACCCAAGGGATGCCTACTGTGCATAGCCCTGGACACTTTTATTCAACACTTGGATAAAAGGCGTGGATGGCATGCTCAGCACATTTGAAGATTACATAAAGATGAGAAGGATAGGGGACAAATTGGATAACAGAATCACTATAAAAAAAAAACAAAACAGGGGCAGCTAGGTGGCGCCGTGGATAGAGCACCAGCTCTGGAGTTAGGAAGACCTGAGTTCAAATCTGGCCTAAGACATGACACTTACTAGCTGTGTGACCCTGGGCAAGTCACTTAACCCCATTGCCTAACCAAAAAAAAAAAAACAACAAACCCAAACCTTGACAGACTAGAAAATTTAGCTGAATCTAAGATGAAATTCAATAGGGGAACATAAAAAATCTTACATTTAAGGTCAAAACATCAATCTCATGAACAAAGTATGAGAGAGACATAATTATACAGCAGTTTGTCTGGAAAGGATTTAAGCAACAGCCAGAAAAAGTTGGTATGATCATGGGCTTCATAGCTTCCAGTAATAGAGGAGTAATAGTCTCCCTATATTCTGCCTGGGTCAGACCACATCTGAAGTACTGTATTAAGTTCTGGGTGTGATAGTTTAGCAAGGACATTGATATATAGGAGAATATGATTAGAAGGGTTATCAGAAAAATAACAAGTAACATTTATCTAGCACTTTAAGGTTTGTAAAATGCTTTTAGACATATATTATCTCATTTGATCCTCACAACAGCCATGTAAGGTAAGTGCCATTATTATCCCAATTTTGTAGATGAGGAAACTGAAGTTAGGTGACTTGCCCAGGGATCATGGCTAGTAAGTGTCTGAGCAGGATTGGAACTCAGGTCTTCCAGATTCCAAGTCCAGTACTCTATTCTCCATGTCACCTAACTGCCCAGCTATGCACCAAGCAGCCATGATGATGAATGGTCTTCTGTCCATGTCACGAAGATCAGGTAAAGGAAATGGGGATACTTGGCCTAGAGAAGAGCAGATGTTAGGGACATGATAGCAGTGTTCAAATATTTGAAGGGCTGTCATGGAGAAGAGATAAATGTCAGACTTGCTCTGATTGGTCCCAGGGGGTAGAATCAGAAGCAATGGATGGAAATTGTAAAGATGGAAATTTAAATTTGATGTCAGAAAAGACATCAAAAGAAAATTCTAACAATTAGAATTATCCAGAATTCGAAAGGCCTCCCGAAAGAGATGGTAGCATCCTCCTAATTTGAGATCTTCAAGTAGAGATTAGGAAGTTGAAGTAGGGATTCCTTTTGGATATGGTTTAGACTATCAATAAATCAAAAAACGTTTATCAAGCACCTATAATATGCCAGGCACTGTGCTAAATAGTTTGGATATGATTTGGCCGCTGAGGTCTCTTCCAATTCAAAAGTCTGGGATTCTGTGGCCAGATAAACTTTAAGGTCCTTTCCAGTTCTAAATTGATGGTCCTTTGACCTATGCTCTTTTCTGAAGTCTTTTTAACATATTCTCCCAAAATCTAGAGTCAGCATGTGATAAACAACCCCATGTTGTTTATCACAAACTCTATGATAGAGAATTCTTTGCTTCCAACTCAGCATTTTCTCTGATTTACCCCAGACCTCACTTTCAGGTTTCACCTAAGGACTCCCACCTGTTTCCTTTCTCTTCCCAGGGCTTAATGCTTTCCACCTCTTCTTTCATTGCCTAAATTTCTGCCTTTCTAGTTTTCCCCCTTTCCTTAACTGTCATGCATACCTGAAGCCACAAGAGGGTAGCACTGTCCAGGATACTTTTCTCTGGAGACCAGTTCTATTGCCTCCTAACAGTCAAGTGGGCATATGACAAGTTTCCCAGCTCTCACAGAGCACTGTCCAATTTTCATGGGGTACTAGTTACTTGAAAAAATAAATAAACATATGTCCATTCCCTATCTGGTGCACAGGGAACTTAATCTTTATTACACTAAGAATTCCCTAGCTGGACCCCAGCAATAAGAGACCCAAGTGTTTTGGGAATGAGTGGCTCCTAAGGTTCAGAGGGTTTAATTGCCTGGCAGATAGAAGAGGATTAAGCAGGGGGCAGGGAGGAAAATCAGGGCTCAATGTAGCCTGAAAAGGCCTTGAGAAAATAGCTTTGATTTCCCAAGAGCAGAAACAGAACCCACCACCTTGAGTTTTGGTGGGGAGCAATGATATAAATCTCAAAGATTAAGGATGGATAGCCCTGGTGGAGAGAGGATAGCTCTCACATCTGGTGTTGAAAGTATCAGGATTTATGAGATGAGAGGGCCCTTGGAGATCTACTCTAAACCTCATATTTTACTGAGAAGAAAACTGTGGTCCAGAGAGGTTAAGTAATTTGGCTAATGTCACACAGTCAGTAAGTGGAAAAGCCTGAATTCAAACTCCTGAGAATCATCTATTTGAGGTTCTTAACTTGAGGTCCATGGATCAATTTCAGTGGGTACATGAAATTGGATGGGAAAAATTCACATCTTTAATATAATTGGTATCCTTTATAATCTTATGTATTTTACTTCATGTATTTAAAAACATTTTTCTGGGGCAGCTAAGTGGTACAGTGAATAGAGCTCTGGCCTTGGAGTCAGGAGGACCTGAGTTCAAATCTAGCCTCAGACACTTAACACTTACTAGCTGTGTGACCCTGGGCAAGTCACTTAACCCACAAAAAACAAACATTTTTTCTGAGAAGAGGTCCACAGGCTTTACCAGACAGCCAAAGGAGGTCCACGACATAAAAAAAGTTAAGAATCCCTGATCAATATACTCAGCCATTCATAAAGACCCCTGTGGTTGCCCTCCAAAGGGCCAAGTCATCCTCTGCCTCCTCTCTGTCACATTCTCTAAACAGATGACATCTTTGGGCACAAGGGAGCCCACCAAGATCTTCCACCCAGGTCAGAACATGAATATTTTTAGGAGAGGACAAATGAATCCAGGCCACTTGTTTGTGCCATGCTTTCTGGGGTTGTGCTACTCCAGCACAGCTTCCAGCCCCGAACCCCTCCCCACCTCTTGGAACCACCCAGGCCTGAACAGTGCTTTACTCCCCCTTTCCCCCTTGTTCTGGACACTCCTAGGGAATAGGTCTGACTTGGAGTCTCTGAACAATGTGAATCATCAGAGATTACCGCTACTCCCTCTCCCAAGTATATGCCAGTAATAAAACAGGAAGACTGGGAGGGGGAGAGGAAAAAGCAAAAACAAGAGGCCAAGGCCCCAGGGACCTGAGAAGGGTTTAAGACACCACTGTGTTGGGACACTCCAAGGTTCTAGAGTCCCCAAGGCCCCAGTGGGAAGGAGCAACTCCTCATTTTCCCTTCCCCAGCTTTGGTCTCCTCAACAGCGGATTATTTCTCATCTCCCTCCATGCCGAACCTTCATCTTCTGCCTTATTCTCAGAGCCAATGCCCTGACCCGGTCACATGTAGTTTAAGGTATGTATGCTGCGAGGGGAATACTACACAGAAGAGTATTCCCATCATCCTGGGAACTCCTGTGACCCTCGCACATGACTGAAGGCACTCTCAGATGTGTGTGGGGGTGAGTAAGTTTTGGAGCCTTCAGCCAAGTAGTCAGTCCCCCAAATCAGGGCTCTGGTTCTCCCCTCCTCCTCCCCACAAAGCCCCTGCTTACACAAAGTCAGATGTATAGACTGGAATAAGCCTAACTTTAATTAAGATTTCCAAATGGGGGTCCTGAGCCCTCAGTGTGCATAAGGGTGGAGGTATTTACATCATTGTGCCACTAGGTCCATGCATGTGTTTGCACATGTATATACCACCTGAAGATCCCTGTCTCCCCAGAGAAAACCAGCTCGTGATTGCAAGAGAGCCCCTAACCTTTTTCCTCCTAATCCAAGGTCTATAGAATAAATAGAAGGGGAGGATGGTGAGGGGGGACCTTTGGGAATGAAGCAGATTGACAATGATGGGAAAAATGAGGTGTGACTAGATAACAATATGTAGGGTGGAATATGGTACACACAGGGACGCAGAGAGACTCAGGGCATGTGAGACAGAGAGGGTGTGAGACACATGGGGAGTAAGGTGATAAGAAACATGGAGCAGTCATGGATCACCTCCTTGCCCATATCCAGCAGCTACCTTGGCCTCCAGGGTCAGGGGCTGAAAATGACCCTTCCTTGAGCCAGAGGCAGGAAGAGAGGGACAGGAAAGGCCCTGGGGTTGGGCCTCCCCCCAAGACAAGAAGACTCCCCTCAGAAGAAGTATGCCAGCAGCAGCACCAGGGCTGTAACCAGAGTAAGTACAAGGAAGATGATGGAGGTGACCCAGGGTCCCTCCTTCTGGGTACGAACATGAACTGGAGCCTCAACAGGAACGATGTTGGTTAGGTTCAGCATGTATCCAAGGGTCCAGCCGATGTCTGTCCCTGAAGCCTGGCCAAGGGACAGAGAGGAGTTAGAGCAGAGGCTGTGCCTAAGAACCCCTATGCTACCAGAGAAGGCAAATCCATGTTTCTCTCATCCTGGGCCCTAAAACCTTTGTATGGTTCAGAGGTATGATATTATCACTAAGAGAATTCTCATTGCCACTTAACTCTGGGGTCAAGGCTTGGCAGAGACTTGGAGTGCTTTGCCATTTCCTTCTCCGAATCTTTTTTTTTTTAAACAAATAAGGAACTGAGGCAAACAGGGTTAAGTGACTTGCCCAGGATCACAAAGCTACCAAGTGTCTGAGATGGGATTTGAACTCACAAAGATGAGTCTTCCTAACTGCAGGCCCAGTACACTATACACTGCACCACCTAGCTGCCCCACATTGATATAGTACTTTGTAAAACTTATATCTCTGTTCCCTTCAATAACCTTATGAGGTTGGTTGTACAAGTATGGCTAGCTCCTTTTTACAGATGAGGAAAATGAGGCTCAGAGAGGTCAAATGATGACAAGTTCAAGATCATAACAGTTAGCTAGAAAAAGACCCAGGCCTCAAATCCACGTTCTCTGACTCCAAATTCAACATTCTTTTCACTACATAACGGGGGTGCATGTTGAGGGAGAACACTTAGGAAATGAGCCAAATTGGAGGCACCTCAAAATTCTAAGAACTCCCAGAAATCACCTGGTCCATCCCCCTGTCTAAATCAGGCTGAATTAAAGAGGCATTCTCTCACTTAAAGAAGGCTCTGGGATTTGGGCTCAAATCCTGATTCTGCGATTTATGACCTCTGCGGACAAGTCACTTCTCATATGTGAGCTTTCATTTCCTCATCAAATGAGGACAGTGGACAAGATGACCTCTCAGTACATTCCAGTTCTAAATATGGAACCTCTGGACTCAGGGGATCCCCAGCTCCTCCCTGTCAACCAGAAAGTCTCACTTCCCTCCTCCGTCTCTGTGGATCGGAGGCCTGTGCCCTCCCACTCTACAGCTGTTCCTATGTTTCTTGTTTGTTTCTGTTGCTCCTTGGTCTCCTAGTAAAAGTTCCTTATGAGAAACTTGAACTTTGTCTCTGCTAAGCCCAAAGTAAAGGGTTGTTTGCACATTCTAGTTGAGGTCATGAGGGGAGAGCCAGAGACCTGGGAGGAGAAGACAGGGAAGGCAGTGGGGGACAAGAAGATTTCACAGGGTTTGATTTCAGACACCAGAGCCCTTTTCATTCACATGGGATTCCCTCAACTCCTCTTGAAGGCTTTTCCCTTCAGGAAGAATGTGTGGGTTTCCCTCCTGTTGCCTCACAAAGCCCGGGCTTCCTCCGGCCCCAGCTTCCTGCCTAACACTCCTTTGTCTTAGACCAATGCCACTCAACTAGACATGGGCAGGAAGGGGCCAGGAGAGGAGGAAATGAAGGAGGGGTGGTGGTACTAGGTGAATTTTCCATACTCTCAGCCCAAAAATAACCTGTAACAAAACTGTAGTTCCTATGGAATCAGTGGTCTTCTTCATGCTGCTGATTCTCAGATTGCTTATCAAATTGATGCTGACCTCTAGACTTGTATGTCTAACTGCCCATTGGACATCTTGAAGTAGGTATCCCATAGACATCTTAAACTCAATGTGTCCAAAACTGAACTCATTATCTTTCCCCCCAAACCCTCCCTTCTTCCTAGCTTCCCTATTACCACTCAGGATGCCAGCATTCTCCCAATCACCCAACCTATATGTCATCCTTGACTTTTTACTCTCCCTCCCCACTAGCCAATCTGTTGCCAAGGCCTGTTGATTTACCTTAGTAATATCTCTCACTTACACACCCTTCTCTTTGACTCTGCCACCACCTTGGTCCAAGCCCTCACAATCTCAGGAATGGCCTACTGTAATAGCCTGCTGATTGGGCTGCCTTACCACAAGCCTTTCCCAACCTCAGGTCATCTTCTGCTCAGCCATCAAAGGGATCTTCCTAAAATGCCAGTATGACTGCGTCACTCCCTACTCCATCAACCCTAGTGGCTCCAGATGCCTTCGGCAGCAAATATGAAATCCTCTGTTTAACATTCAAAACCCTTTCTAACCTGCTGTCCCTCACTTGTCCAGTCTTCTTACACCTTATACTCTACCCCTCCAATGTACTCTTCATCCCAGTGACAATGGCCTTCTTGCTGTTTCTCTCTTTTTTTTTCTTGTGAAGCAATTGGGGTTAAGTGACTTGCCCAGGGTCACACAGCTAGGAAGTGTCAAGTGTCTGAGGCTGGATTTGAACTCAGGTCCTCCTGACTCCAGGGCCAATCCACTGTGCCACCTAGCTGCCCCCTTCTTGCTGTTTCTCAAACAAGACTGGCGGTTTCCTGAATCTGGGCATTTTCACTGGCTGTCTGTCCCCCATGCTTGGAATGCTCTCTCTCTTCATGGCTGCCTCCTGGCTTCCTTCAATTCTCAGCTTAGCACAATACGTGGCACACAGTAACTAAGGAATATTCCCTCACCTTCTACTGGAAGTCTTTCCCAGTCCCCATTAATGCTAGTGCCTTCCCTCTGTTGATTTTTTCCAATGAATTAATTGGAAATACAAACCAGATAATGTATGTAGCTTGCTTGTACCTAGTTGTTCACAAGTTGTCTACCCTATTACACAGTGACTTCCTTGAGATTAGGGACATCTTTTGCTTTTTGCGTTCTCAATGCTTAGCATAGTGCCTGGCACATAGTGGGGGCTTGATAAATGTTTATTGCCTGACCGATTGTTTTCAGATCACACAGAAGGCCAACTATTAGCAGAAAACAGAAACAGTCTAATGTGGCTTTTAGTGAGTAAGGGAGAGGATTAAGGTCAGGGTTCAAACCAATCCTGGTTCCTTCTTTTGTGAAAAAAAGAAAGTGCATTTCACCAAACATGTTGCTATCCACCTGTTTGCTCCCCTGGGTAAGAAATTGAAAAGGCTCCAGTCAGAGAACAGAGAGAGTTCAGGGCTCCAGCCCCCCTGCCCCATACTGTGGGAGGTCATGCTTACCACTGTCTCTCCCTGCCTCCCCCATCCCAGAGAGCCATGCTCACTTTCTGTTGGAACCTGATGGAGGTCCAGCTCTTGTCAGAGAACTTGTAGCCTTCCAGGAGGAGTACCAGGATATAGTTGGCATTAGCACAGTAATCTTGAAGCCAGTGCAAGTTGTGTTTGGGGTAACTTTCAGTCACCTGAAAATGAGTGGACAGGTCTTTTTGCCTCTCCTTTCCATTGACAAGCAAGCCCAAGGCTTGGGCTGTCCTAATCTTACCCTAGTCTGCCCAACTCTACCCTGAACCCCTGATTCTCCATCTTAAATGGAGAATGTTAAATAGAGCAAAGCCAATTCTTGGCTGATAGAAAGAATATGGACTGACATACAAGTTGGGTGCCCTGATGCTAATGGCTCTGCACTGCCTAAGGACTGATCAGATTTCAAATCTGGGTGTTCAAGACTGTCCAAAATTAGAGCCCACCCCACCCCCCAGGAATGAGGGACTTTAATTCATCTAATAGCCAACAAGGACTCCCCAGATATCTGAGCCTGACCTCTGAATTCTGGCCTCTGACCATTAGGATTCAGCATCATACCTAGACTCAGTACTCACCCTGAAGCCCCCCTCTACACACACAAATCGGCAAGATTCCCTGTGAAGCCCCATGGAACCTGGATCCCACCCTCATTCATTCCTTGAACTCACATTTGTCCAACTCCGGCTGCAGTACTGCTTAATGGTGTCCATGACCTCCAACAGAGACTGGCCCGAGGTAATGTTGAGGAAGTTGAAGGTATAGAAGAAGGCAGAGAAAGCCTGTGGGACAAAATCAGAGGAGGTAAGAGACTGCCCAGATGGAAAGAGCCAGCAGGGGCAGTCCTCTGATATATCCCTACCCTTCTTGGGGATGCTCCTGATATAACATTAGTGGCTCCCTATTGCCCACTGAGCCAAATTCAAATTCCTGTCTTGGCATTCAAGGCCCTTGAGGCCCAACCTTTACAGCCTTCTCTCAAATGCTCTCTCTCTCATGCTCCTCCCCTCCATGGACACCACTCCAGCCTTCAGGGTGGTCTATGTTGTCCTGCCTCTGTGAGCAAGGGCTCATACTGCCCCCACTACCTGGTATGTCCTCTCTCTGCCACCAGCATCTCTTTCACCTGCTTATCTTTCTACCCGATCACTGAAAGTGCTTAGCACAATACCTGGCACACAGTAACTAAGGAATAAATGTTTGTTGACTGACTGACTGACTGACCTCATGTAGTTCTTTGCTTTGTAATATTCTTATGCATTTATCATATAATATTAACAATAATATAATAAAATAATTATGTTACCTTATATTAACAATACATTTATGTAGTACTTTACAGTGTATTTTCCTCCCACAGGAGATGGGTATTAGAAAAAAAAATTTGGACCGAACCTGCAATTTCAGTGAGTGAACTCCCAGTGAGGAAAGTTCCTCTAACAATGCAGGTTAGCACCACCTCCACCTGAGGCATCAAGAGGTCATGACTTATCCAGGGTCACCCGGCCAGTATGTAACAAAGGCAAGACTTGAACCCAGGCCTTTCAGACTCCTAGGCCATTCTCTGTTCATTATACTGTGCTGCCTCTTGGTAGAAATACTGTCCTAATTTCACCAAAGAGGAAGCTAAGGTTTGGAAAGTCAGTTGATGTACTCAGGGTTACACTTCAGTTATGTGTCTGAGGGAGAACTGGAACCTAGGTCTCCTGATGCCCAAGTCCAGCATTCTACTTGTTGCACCACACAGCTTCTCATGGCACATTACTGTCATTTATGTGCATGGCTTGTCTCCCTCCCAGCATGGGTCTGCGAGTTCCACAGAAGCAGGAACTGTACCTAAATAAAACTTTCACTTTCCCCCATTATCTAGTATATGAATCTGCACAGGGTAGATGCTCGGTAAATGCCTGGTGAACTGCCGCAGCCTGAGAGGTAACACAGAAAGGGCAGACCCCACCCAGCCAACATCCTTTCACTGCCCCCAGCTCACCACCCCCCAAGGACCCAGCCTTACAAAGAACTGGCCACTGGCGTCAGGCTGGTAGGTGCCATTGAATGCGCAGGGATGATGGAGGCCACAGGCGGTAAAATTGAAGATGGCTCTGATGGCTTGCTGGCACTTGGTGACGTTGCCTGTGCCCACCAGCGCCATCTCTTGGTTCAAGTTGAAACCTCGTGGCTGCAGGTGGGCCGTGCAGGGGCTGTCATAGATAGACCGGGCCATCACTTTATTCTTAAAGCCCTTGTGGTAACAGGGATGCTCGACCTGGCCAGGGGTAGCCTGGGACTCCTTGAGGACATGGAGAATAATAAGAGTGTAGCCCACCAGGCCTCAGGCTGGGCAGGGGAGTACCCAAAGATTTCAGTTTAGTCCCCTCATCTCTCTCCATCTCTTTAAAGGAAGCAAACTCCATCCTTCAGAGCACACACTTTGTAGGCACGATCACTGATGGCTCCTCGGTGGCCAAATGCCACGTCCTGGCTCCAACCTTCCTCAGTGGGTGTCTTCCACTGACACTTGACCAGAATCTCACATCCCCTTCTGTTTCTAGGTCCTATTTCTGTTTTTACTTTGGCCCTACTCTTCAAAGTCCAGCTAAAACCTCACTTCCTCCAGGAAACTTGTCCGCCTCTCACCTCCAACCCAAACCGACCCCTCTACCTGCATCCGAGCCCAACGTTCTGACCCATGTTGTTCACTGGTTTCTTCCTGTAGGTATTATGTTCCCCACCCCCCTACCCCAGACTCTCAGCTGCCCAAGTGAAGGGCCTAGATATGCTCTTGTTTGTCTCATAGAATAATAATTTGGGGCTGGAAGGGGCCTTAGAGACCAACAAATCCGACCCCCTGACTTCACGAATAAAGGAACTGAGGCCCAGAAAAGTTGCACAGCTAGCAAGAGCAATGGTACGTTCCGAATTGAGATCCCCTGACTCTAAGTACATTACACCCCACTGTTTCCCTGAGACTTTCAGGTCTCCAAGAGTCAAGCCTGGATCTGCTCCTTTTCTGTCTTCCCCTTGTTGTCGTTCAGTTGTGTGTGACTCTTTGTGACCCCATTTGGGGTTTTCTCGGCAGAGATACTAGAGTGGTTTGTCATTTCCTTCTCCAGCTCATTTTACAGATGAGGAAACTGAGGCAGACAGGGTTCAGTGACTTGCCCAGGGTCACCCAGCTAGTTGAGTGTCTGCGGCCAGGGTTGAACTCAGGAAGATGAATCCTCCTGACTCCAGGCCAGGCGCTCTGTGCACTACGGCACCACCTAGTGGCCCCAGCCTTCCCCTAGAGTCCTTCCTCGGGTGGGCTCTTCCTCTGTCTCCCCCAGAAATGTGAGATGCCCAAGGGCAGGGACTGTATTCTATGTCGTTTCTGTGTAAGAACCCAGAGGAGTCATTATAAACATCTGTTGATGTTGAATTGATCTCCCTGAAGCAGGGCAATGTTGCCCAGGATTATCGAGGAGGGCCCTCCTTTGGTACTTCAGGGATTTGGGGTTGGGGGGAGACAGAAGAAAGATCAGAGCTTTGCAGAATTTGTCTTAGGACCTTGTCTTGTCACCAGGTCACCAGCCTGAGAAACGTTCTCCCCACCCCCTGTCAATAAGTCCTATGATGCCCCTGCCCCCCATCATGTGTCTATAGCGACCCCCATTAGGTTCCTCTGCTTCCAGTGCCCCATCAACTCCTTCTACTCCATGCCCCATATTGCCTAGGGGGCTCACCTGGCTCAACTTCTGGATCACCTGCTTCTGCGCCTGGGCCTGCCCATAGCACAGGTAGCTGTGTGTATAGATGGTGTAGTTGAAGCCATACAGACGGAAATGGGAGGCAGTGGCTGGGTCTGCAATGGATCCACTGGGGAGGAAGCTGATCTGGGTTGAAGCCCCTCCCAGGTCCAGGGCCCCAAGCACCGTGCTTGCTGGAGGGCGGATCCAGCCTCCATTCTTGACTGAATACTGTCCATACAGAGGCAATGTTAGAACAAGCCCTGTGAGAGGGTATGCAGTTTAGGGAAGCCAAGAGCTCTAAAGGGAGGGGGTGGGTAGGGGGTGTTATTAGATGAAACACAAGAAAAGCCAGGGCCAGGATGGCAGGCAGGGGGATCAGGGCCTTCAGAGAGACTCAGGGGGTGGGAATAACCTTGGTGAATGTATCTAAGAGGTAATTGATGGTGATCCAACCATAGGCTCCCTCCTCAGCACCAGAGATGATCCGAGCCCCTCGGAAATCCATGGGGTACTCCTGGATGGTCTTGCCCACCTCAGCCAAGACCCCATCAGCAGCTTTTGGGTCCTGCAGGCTAAAAGAAAGTTCTAAAGTCAGTCTCCTAATACTCCCGCTAATACTCAGGATCTGTCAGGTAGGGGGACAGAAAGGTAAAAGGAGAAAAAAGGTTACCAGGGAGAGAGGGAGAGATGGGTTGTATGGTTGGGAAAATGTCTGTCTTGGGCCCTAGGCTCAGAGTAATAAGGATGGGAATTCTCAGGACAAGAGGTAGCGGGAAGGGATCTCAGAGATCCTTTGGTTCAGTTCACCTATTTATCTAATGCCACTCAAAGAAGTAGCAGAGTTGATATGTGAGTCTGGGGAAGCAGAAAAGTAGGATTAGCATAGGTTGAGTTGGTGGTGGTAGAAGTAGCCCAATGGGAGGTCTTGGTAGTTGGGATTCCAGGGAGGAAATAGGATCATAAATCTACAGTTGGAAAAGACCTAAGAGGCTATCTATTCCAACCCTCTCATTTGACATATGAGGAAACTGAGGCCTAGGGAGATTAGGTGACCTGTCCAAGGTAATCCATATAGTTTCAGTGGCAGGATTTGAACCCTGTCCTCCTCTACCTTCAGAGCCAGCCCTCTTTCCATTAGACTACCAAGATTCTCAAGCCCGTTCCCTCTTTCTGCCTAAGGGGTAGGAAGGTTTAGGAGGGAGTGCAGGAAGGATGGGGTTGGGGGCACTGGGGAGTAGGATAGACAGCCCTGGAAGGAGATAGTACCTGAGGATTCTCATCCCCGCTGTCGCGCCCAAGTACACGGGTGTCTGAGCCAATTGTGGGGCTGGGATCAGCTTCACTGCTTCATCTAAACATGGCCGCAGGGACCTTCCCGCAGCTTCAGGGTTGCGAGCATAGCTGGAGATGCCATCGCCTGCAGGCGGAGTCATGTGAGCACCGGGGCAGGTGTGAGCCAGTTCAAGTGGGGTGGGGGGGTGAATGGGAGCAGGGCCAGGGAAGGAAGAGAGAGGCTGGGGGCCGTGGAGGGATACCCAGGGGCAGAGTGAGGTGGGGGCCGATGGGGTCAGCAGAGAAGGGTAGGGCTGGTCGCAATGGGGTCCCAAGTACACACTGCCTCTCCCGCCCTCTCACAGACCCTGCACATCACAAGCCATGGTCTGGCTGACCACGCCTGTGTCATTCTCCTTGTCCCCAGGCCACTGGTACACGAAGAGGGATGTGTGCGAAGAGCCAGCATCAAACACGAGACCGAACTGAGGAATGAGTGGGAGAGGAGGGAGGGTTTGCGAAGGTCCCAATGCCAAGTTTGAGGATGAGGGTCAGAGATTTGGAAAAGTAATAAGGAGGGAGGGTTAAGAAGGGAAAATCTAGGGAGCGGCAATGAAGGAAGATTGGGGTTTAGGGAGGGCTAGATTTGAGGGGCTCAGGAAAAGTGAGGAGGCTGGTAGAGCTGAAGGTTAGGGAGAAAGGGGCTTGCTGGTGCAGGAAGAATGGGAATCGGGAGTCAGGGAAGGACATCAGAATATAGAGTTTAGGGGCTCAGGAAGGGAAATTTTGGTCTCAGAGGAAATTTGGGTGGTGAAGAGAAAGGGGAGAAGTTTAGGGGTTCAGGGAAGGAGATTTTTGATGTTAAATTTGAGTGGTTAAGAGGTAGAAAGGGAGGGGTTTAGGAGTCTTGGGGAGGGGAGGGTATGCTAAGGGCTATTGGAGGCAATCACCTTGGTTCCTGGGGGAAGGGTGGTGTTAGTGGCCAGGAGGGTCAGCACCAGAGTAATAGCTGTGCAGACAGTCAGGACCAGTGTAATGGGGACCACCCAGCGCTTCATATCCAGCCCCATTGGTTCAGCAGCTGCAGATTCTGGTGCTGTAGGGAGGAGCCAGTGAGCCCAGACTCTCATCCAGCTTGGAATCCCCAGCCCGAACCATTCTAGCAGGCCCCCATCTTCTCAGTGACCAATTCTTCCTTCTTTAGCTCCTACTCCAGAAATATCTCATCTTGTAGCCTCAGCATCTTCCTCACCTCTATAGCAGGCAAAAGTTGCAGGTGAATGAGGAAGGCCCTTGTCTCAGGGATGCCCAAGGCCTGATTGCTCCTTCCCATAACCAGCGCTGCCCCCCCACCCAGAGTTATTAGCACAGGATGCCATATGACAAACATTTATGTCGCACATAATACAGGTATTACCAAAGTCAGGGGAGAAGGCTTTGCCCTAAATGATAATCTCTTGTCTGGGTGTAGGCTGCCTGACAGTTGTAGCATCACACAAAGCAAAGGAATCTGCCTACCTGGTCCTTTCATACCAGTCTATTCAACTCACAGACATAATCATTGTCAGCGTCTAAACTAGCCAGAGAGGAAACCACACCTGCTCCATCGTGGTGGGCCCAGGGTGCAGGAGTTCTGGGAGATTGACTCCCATTCCACAAACAAATTCAACAGCTGTTCTATTCAACAAGCATTTATTAAATACCTATTTGTGCCCAGAACCCTTTGCTGGGTATGATCCTACCTGGGCAGAGAGGGGAAGAATGCCAGAGCTCAGGGAGGTGAGGCTTGGCCTCGGTCTTAGTGGACAGAGCTGGAAGAAACCAGAGGTGAAGTATGTTAAACTTCCTGCCTCTTTCTGAGGCTTCTTGGTGAGAGTTAGGGTATAGCATGAGACACTCAACCCAATGTTGCAGGCCAGAGCCCAGGGGAGGAACTCTCACACACCACCCATCCTGTCCATAAGCCACTCCTTGGCTAAAACCATAGTCCTACACACAGAGCTTTGGGAGTGGGAGGAAAGTTGAGAAGACGATGGAGGGTTGGAGGGGAGGAGGACTCCATTCCCAGCTCCATGGGTGGCATGGTTAGCTCTTACCAATGACCTCAGTAAAAGACATTTTATTTTCTTATGGGAAGTTTCTTTTTGAGCTAGAAAAGAAGTAATCACTTAAAGGAAATTCACCCAGTGTTCCCTCTCAGTACAAGGAGTGTGGCTTTTTCCCCCCCCCCCCCCCCCCCACATAGGATGACGGCTGAGGACTCAAGCCTGAGAATCTTGGCCAAAAATAGGAGAAATCAGGCTGTGGCCTTTGGACTACACATCCTTGAAGCCAGACCCCATCTATAATGTAGCTAGAAAAGGGATCAGACAGGTGATTTAATTGGTACAGTACACCACTCCCGGGTGGTTGGCACCTTCCCTACAACTTATCATTTAGAGAGCTGCCTAGCTCGTTGAGAGGTCATGGCTCACACAAGGATGGATACACAGCTAGGAAGCATCCAAGGCAGACTGGATCCCAGGTCTTTCTAGCTTCAAAGTCAGCTTTCTATTGACTATGTTGTGAAGCATGCTTAAATATAAGAAAGATAAAAATGAAGTTTGGTTCTGGTTCCTCTACTGTGATGGATGGAGTTGACCATTAAATTTAGCCTAAAGGCCCAGACAGGATCTGTAGGGGATATTTGAATCTGAAAAGCCTGGAGAATCCACCTCCCCCACTCTTTTCTGCATACCCCAGGGGAGCCTAGCCAGCTATATCCCTGTGGTCCAGATATGGCAGAAAAAGGGGCATACCCTTTATGCCAAGCTGTCTAATTCTCAGTCTCTAGCAGTGCCCTGAACTGGCCATGTCCCACCCTCCTTCTATTTCAAAGTAGAGTTTTCACTATGGCTTAAATGCCAACTAGCACCCACCATTGAGTCAGGCCAATGTAACTCTAATCAGACTGGAGGAGGCCAGGCACAAATAGTCAGTCTTTAGGGCTACACTGCCTGGTCTTATCTGATGCCCAGTTTCACCTAGTCTCATGTGTCTAGTTGTGAGAACAGCATTAGACAGATGACCTTGGGAATTTCTCAATCAATTTAGGCCTAGGAGATGGACCACCATCCTATTTCCCTTTCCATCCCTGAGCCCTCCCCTAGTCTGAAGGGAAGTTAATTTCATCATCCCCTTCCCCATTCCCCAACACTTGTTCTCTGGGTTTCTATTTGTGTCTGCTATGAATCCTCCCCCTCCCTCAGATCCTGAAGCAGAGCCTCAGGGAGGCCAGTCAGATGGGGTCCCCAAGTTGTCCAGTCTCCATTCAGTGTTTGGGCAGATGAAATTAACAGTCTTCTGCCCTAATGATAAGAAGCATTCCCTCACCCCACTGCCCCAAAGACCTCCCAGAAACCATTTGGAAGCACAAGCGTAAGATCCTCAACCCAAGGCCTGCAACGAATAAGAGAAGAAATATGGGGCTGGGGCTGGGGCTGGGCAGGTCTACTGCTCTAGGGTTGGATGAAGAAGGGAGGCTGGAAGGTTTTCTTTGTGTACCCAGGACACCATATTGGATTCTTCATCTTTTGCCAGTTCTTTCACTTTCCGTCCCTCCCCCAGAGCTCCTACCCACGGACATATTCCTGAGCTACAGGCTTCTCCCCAACACAGCTCCTGCCCATGTGCTGCTCAACTCCTTCTGACTCTTCCCTCCCCCTCTCCAAGTTGAGATCCTCCATAATCCCCTCTCTCCTTTGCCATGTCCTCTTTCTCCTCCTCCTAGCCTCTCCAACACTTTTTCCCTATGGGGGTGCATGATAGAGGAGCTCCCTCACTCTTGTCTCAGGTTCCCATTGCTGAGACTATCAGTCACCATCCCACCCTTCATACCATGCCCTGAGGGAGGTAGATGGTATAGAATCAAAAGCCATAGGCTAGGAGTCAGGGCACTTGGGTTCCAGTCCTGGCTCTGTGACTGACTCTTGCATTTCCTGTGTATTTCTTTAATATCACTGGGAGACAACATGGTGCATTTATCCAAGTATACATTAATGGCGCATATATCCAAGAGTACTGGATTTGTAATTAAAGGACCTAGACATGAATCTTAGTTTTGCCATTTACTACCTGTGTGACATCAGACAGATCACTTCCTCCCCTTCTGGCCCCCACTCATAAAATGTAGGATCTAGAAGGAAAGGAAGAAGCCATCCAGTCTAACCCCCTGGTTTTTGTGAAAGGAGAAACTGAGGGCCAAAGGGGAGGTGGGGTAGGCAACTCCTCTAGGCTTAGTTTCTCTCCCTCTCCCATTTAGTTTTCTTCTACAGACAAAACTCGGTCTACAGAGGAAAGGGAGAAAAGGGACTGAAGGGGCAGGGACTTCATTCCAAGACATAGAGCTGCAACCCTTCTTCTTCCCCCCCCCCTCACCCCAATTCAATCATCCCTCTAGGAACGACTGTCTACTTGAAAATGGGCCCTGAAGGCTCAAAGACTACTTACCTGAGGTCACTAATCATGAGCAACTCTACCACGGTTAGGATCCAGATTCTTTGAGTTTGGGGATAGGGCAACTGTAAGGACAGTAGGAATTTTGTGCAGAAGAGGTGAAGGTTAGGACAGGTTTCTAATAGGCTGGGAAAGGAGGTGGAAGGGGGAAGAAAGGGCCTGAGGCACGTGGAGATATCTGGGAGCCTGGAATCCTGGGTTCTCCACATGCTGGCCCCGGCCCCGTTTTTATCCTTCTCTGTGCCTGGGAGAAGGAGCGCGCGGGAGGGGGGGGGGGGAAGGGGGGGGAATAAATGACCAACTTCCATGCAAGGGCTCAGACCACGAGTGGAGAGTTCCCTGGCTTCCCGCTTCTCGAAATCAGAGTTCCTTGCCTTCTCCCTTCCCGCACACAGGCTCTGGCTCCAGTGACCAGCTAGGTTCCAGACTCGGGCGTGTGCCCTGACGACTCCAGAAGCCGGAACCAGAGCAAAAGTCTCCCGGACCTGGATTCCTGGGTGTCGCCCAGAGTGGGTTGCAGGGCCTTTAAGGATGCCTGTCTACCCTCTCACCGTAACCCTACTCTGTCGACCCTGTATCCTTACCGGGGATACGAAGACTGAGGACAGCTCCAGAAGCCCTCAGGAAGTCTCTCCAGCAAAGCCGAGAGTGGGAAGACCGAAGTCATGCGGTACAAGGGGACTCCAATAGCCTCAGAGTCCAGTTCCCTCTCAGCTAGCAGTCGTCCTCGGGGTCACCCGTCGAAGGAGTCAGGGATCACGGTACCTGCAGGGTTTGGGCTTGGGTGGGCGCTGCCCGCTGTCCGTGAGGTACCTGGGTGAGTGCTGGAGGCGTTTGGGCGGTTTTCAGAAGGCAGCACCGGCTGGGGGCCCCCTCTCCCTCCCCCTCCTGAGCCTGAGCCCGCCCTTCCTGCCCCTCCTCCCTACCCCCCACCCCCAAGGCTGGGGGCAGTGTGGGGGGACCGTCTTCTGCCTGGCCCCTAGGCCAGCCTACGAGATCTAGTAACAGCGATTTTCATTCATGCAGCAAGTATTTATTAAGTGCCTACCGTGCGCAAAGCTCGGGATCTAGTGCTGGGGGAAATAAGATAAAATGTAGATATGATAAGGTCTCGGCTTCATGAAGCTCACCGTCTATCAGGGAGACTGGACGCAAATAGCCACAAAGCACAGAAACGCAAGGTAAGTGCATTAGAGGGATGCAAAGCTAAGTGTTCAATGAGCACCTACGGATGTAAGAGAAGGACTGAGAGGCGCGGAACAAAGGCCCCTGCCCAGCCCAGACTCTCCAATTTGCTTTGGCCCGGAACCAGGCGAAGTTTTCTGGGGGGAAGGGCGAGAGGGGAGCTGCAGGTGTCCTGACTCCTCCCCCGTGCCTGGTCCTGGTTGGAGGGGCTAGCCCCCCCCCCCCGCCCCACATCCTCCTTTCCTCTGCCCCACCCCCAGTCCCCTGCGGACCCTAGGATGGGGGATGGGTGAAGACGGGATGGTGAAGCTGGACTGACTACCCCTGCTTGAACAGGCGTGGGATGAGGGAGCGAGAAAGGGTGAGAGAAGGGGTTGCCCTCCTCTCCTTTTCTCCCATCTGGGCAGACCTCAGGTGGGGACCACACCCGGCTCATCCACAGATGATCAAAGCGACGAAACCTACGCAGCAAATAAGAGAAGCAACCATTGTTTCCGGTGGCTTTTGGTCTCTGGCCACAGCCCCCGAGGCTGCAGAACAGTTTGGGCCCAGAGCCTCAGACACCTGCCAGAGTCCAGAGCCCAGGAGAGGCAGCTTGTTCGTGCTGGCTTCGGAGTCAGGGAGATCTCTAGGTTGATTGAAGGCCTGCCTCTGATACGTACTGGCTGTTCGAGACGCTAGGCAAATCACTTAACCTCTCAGTGGCCCAGAACATTCTCTAAGATCCTAAGGTGCAGAGAATATGCTGCCCTGCGTGGGTGGAGGGAGCTCCCTACACAGATGAAATCGCAGGGTTTGTCAGAAAAGGCTGCATGCTAGGGGCTGGGGTACAGAGATGAGAAAACTTGCCCCAAATATCAGCGGATCTTACAATCTATCATAGAGATACTACACATATACATGTAAGTCTGATTCGAGGGCAAGTGTAGTAAGCTAATGAGAGGTCAGTGAGTAATGAGAAACGGTGGGTGGAGGTGGGAGGGGGGCAGCGGGGAGATGCCTAGGAAGAGATCACTTCCAGAGGCCTGTTTGGGAAAGACTTCTTAAAGACCATAGACTTCGGAACTCTTCTGATTGATGCAGCCACACATCGGGACTTCAGAAGACTGATGATGAAGTTTGACCCCGGCCTTGGGAAAGTGGTGATGGACTAGAGGTGTAGAGACATTTTCAGAGAGGAATAATGTGTTGATGTGTTTTGCTTGCCCATACTTATTTGTTACAAGGGTTTCTAGGGGGGCAGGGGACAGTAAATTGTTGGCTCCTAATAGAGATGCAGGGAAACAAGAAAGTAAAGTATCACAGAAGAAAAGGAAACAAAGTTCAACAGAGGACACAAGCAGAGGAATTCTGTTATTGATTCCATAAATTTAATATACACCTTCTAAAAGCAAAATGTTCATAGGGAAACTGAGGCCCAAAATGGGGATGTGATTTGCCAAAAGTCATACAACTAGCCAGGGATAGCTGGGATTCAGATGTAAGGCTACTGACCAACTCCTAAGCCACATTTTCCTTCTCTACCATATTTCATCCTAGCAAATCTTTCACTAATATCAGCTTGGACTCTGTGCCTTCCAGGATTTGTAAGGGGACTTTGAGGCAGGTGATGCAGGGGTCAGGGTTCTCAGGTGGGAATAAGGAGACAGTAGTCTAGGCCTGAATCTGCCACTCACTTGCTGTTTGTGATCGTATGCAAATGACTTCTTGCCTCTCTGAGACTCAGTCCTCCTCTGTTAAATGAGGAGTTGGAATAAACCTCATAAAGACCTTTCCCATTGTGAATATCTAAGACGTTTGTCCCCGAAAGTTTTTGATGAACTTCATTTCTGAAAGGGAGCAATTTGTGATCACGAATGTGACATCTTTTTTGTTCTTTGTATGTTGTGATGTTTGTGGACTCCTTCCCCATCAGCCCTCTTGTGACTCGATGAATTTTCACTGACCTGGAATGCTCAAGCCAGGAATGATCTCTCCCTCTTCTTCTCTGCCTCTGGGCTTCCTTCAGGTCTCTTCTAAAATCCCACCTTCTACAAGAAGCCTTTCCCAGTCTCCCTAAATGCTAGTCCCTTACATTTATTGATCATTTATCCTGTCTATAACTTGTTTATATGTAATGGTTTGCATGTTGTCTCCCCCATTAGACTGGGCTTCTCTAAGAGCAGAGGGACTGCTGCTTTTCTTGGTGCTTAGCCCAGTACCCAGCACACAGCAGGTGCTTAATAAATGCTAGTCGTTATTGATGATGTTTAAGTTCATAATTTTAAAAAGGCTTCATGGAGGAGGTGGCATCTAAACTGCTTGAAAAAAGGGAAGGTTTTCAATAGGAATATGGAGTAATGGTGGTAGTGCTGGACTTGGAATAAGGAAAATCTGGGTTTGGATCCTGCCTCTGATACTTACGTAGTAGCTGGGTAACCATGGGGAGACAGATGCTAGCTGTTTAACTCTGAGTGAGTCCTTTAATCTGTTTGGTTCTCAGTTCCTCATCTGTAAAATGAGGCAGTGGGACTTTGGGTCCTTTAAGGCCCCTCCTGGCTCCAAATCTGTGATCTCAAGTCACCTGACCTTTCTGAGTTTCAGTTTCTTGATCTATAGGGGGAGGGGGCAACAGAGGTACCTGGAGTCCATACCTCAAAGGAGCAGTCCCAAGCAGCAAATGAAACAATGTATGCAAGGAATGTGGTCAACTTTAAAGTAGGGGCTCATGACCTTTTCAGTGGCATGGATCCCTCCCACAGTCTGAGGAAGTCTATGAAGCCCTTCTCAGAATAACATTTTTAAATGCATAAACTAAGATATATAGGAACCAATTCTATTGAATTACAGTCAAAATATTTTAAAAACAAGTTCATGGACCCGAGGTTAAGAACCTTACTCTAAAAGCCCTGGCTTTGTAAAGACAATCTTAACTAACCCCTAGAAGGGCAGGAAATGTCAAAGGGCACACAAATTTAACAGCTGAGCTTTTTCAGCAGGGTAGAAGTGGGTGAGGGCAGCTAGGTTGATTGATGGATAGAGTACTGGGCCTAGGGTCACAAGGACTTTTATCTTCCTGATTTCAAATCTGTCCTCAGACACTTACTGCTTGTGTGACCCTGGGCAAGTCACTTAACCCTGTTTGCCTCAGTTTCCTCATCTGTAAAATGGGCTGTACAAGGAAATTGCAAACCACTCCAGTATCTTTGCCAAGAAAACATAACTGGGCAACGAAAGAAGCAGGTGGTCCTCAGAGCAGGAGGTGGGGGGTAAGGGGACAACTCTAGCTCAGATGTTAGCCAAAGCATAAGAAAAAGACATTCAGTCCAGGGCTGCTGTGGGAACAGAGAACCGATGCCTGGGAGCCCTCTTCCATCAAGAAACCCCCAATTCACCCCACTGCCTCCTTTTCTCACTCCTTTTCTGGAAGGCCAGCTTGACTTCTGCCCTCCCCCCTTCAGCAGGTGGCAACACCTCACCCCCACTCTCAACAGAGGCTGAGTAAGAATTGTACTGTTTCCTTCTGAGATGCTGTGTGGGAGGGAGCCCAGGACAGAGCTTAACTGAGGCCTCTGTGGGGCTCAGCACCTATTTAGCACGGTGCCTGGCACTTAGTAGGTGGTTAATAAATGCCGATTGATCTGTGATCACGAATGTGAAATCCACCTTTGTAGCAGCTTGATGTCCTGGAAAGAGCACTGACTTTGGGGATAGGAGCCCTCCATTTGTGCCCTGGCCCTGCTACTTTTTAGCCATATGCTTGAGCAAATCTCTTCATCTCTTTCACTCTGTTTCTTCAACTTTGAAATTTCCTCTATTATAAACTACAGACTTGTTGGTATTAAAAACTCTCCACAAATCCGGTTTATCTTTCCAAACTTACTGTGCATTACTCTCTTTCTGTTTTCTGCACTTACTCTATATATAATACTCTGTTTACATGTTGCATTCTTCCAGCAGGATTTAACTCCTTCAAGGCAGGGACTGGGTTTTCATTCCGTCTCTTTTATCTTCAGCTCTGGGCACAGTGTGTCAGATTAGGACTAGCTGCATACACGCACTCACGCACACAACCACCTGCCTCACAAGTCAAATCCAAAAGTATTATGGAAATGTGAGCTTTTCACATTAAACTATAATTTCATTATAAAATAAACTTCCTCCATTAGAAAACATTACTTCAACATTATCAGCAAACACTTGTACTCAACCCAGGGAGGCAGCCCAGGTGTGAGGGATGGAGGGAGTATGGGGATGAGGGCAGAGAAAGTGAAGAAGCTGATTCTGCTGTTTTTGATGCCTTCACTGTGCAAGTCCTGTGGCAGCTGTCTAAAGGAAAGGATCCCAATTTTGAACTTGGCTCAGCGGGGCCTTGCTGAGATAGGCCTCATCTCTCTAGAGCAGAAAAAGAAGCTTCAGCCTAACCCTGGGCAGCTTTCAGAACCAGGGTGCATCACTTCCCCCAAGCTCTTCTCCCTTCTTAGGAAGCAGGAAACATGATTAAAGATTTTGCTAAGGTTTATTAGAGCAGCAGAAGAGTTTTCAGGTCACGTTTATGACCTAGTTGAGCTTTATTTGTGTGTGGGAAATGTATACTGAGGACAACGAGGCTGTACTGTATGCCTATTTTATGGGAATTGGAGGACAGTTCACAGCTAGACACAATTACAGAACGTGGTAGCTGTTGGCTCTTTGCTTTTTACAAAATATCATTAGTCACGTCTAGGCTTTATTTGATACTCCCTTGTCCTAGGAACATACTCCCGAGGATAATATTGTTCCCAACAGAGAAGCATGATCTGCTTTACCATGCAGGTTCGAGGAACTTGCAAAATTAGACCTGTCTGAATTGCTGAGCTAGGTAGGAGATGGGAGGTGGGGCAGTAATGGACTCAATTCAATCCCCAACCATCTGGTTGATGGTAGTTGTCATCTCCTGTTCGAGTGGACACACACACACATACACATGCACGCACGCGTGCACGCTTTTGCCCACAGGAGCAATCAAACCTGTTCAGGGCATCTATTATCATTTCTCAGCCTGGCATTTGAGGCTCTCCC